CGTGGTTCTGTCTGCCCTAGAGCAGCCCTGGTTCTCCTGGGACAGGACATTTTGGCCCCAGTGCTGGCCCGTCACAGGAAACCAGAGGTCTCTCAGGCTCCACGGCCAGAACTGTACACAACAGTGGTGGTCCAGCCTGCCTCTACACTGTGAGTGTGGGAGCTTTTGTCATTAAAATACATAAAAACATGTAACGTTCACCACATTTACCCCAGGTACAGGAGGTTCCCACTTACAAGCCCCAGTTCGTGTTTAGTACTTGCAAGGTTCACCCCAGGGTGCTGGTCAAAAGGTATTATTTTCAAAGTGTGCCACGACACCAAAACGTTGTTAAGCATGGAATTTGTAATTCATGTTTCTGCAAATCACGACCTGGATTTTACTAATAGTCTGTCGATGGCAGAGTCTGGTGTGAACAGAAAACTAAGTGTTAGCTCTGAAGGTCAGGGAGCATTTTCCATGCCTGTGTCCCACAGGAACCTTAGACACAAGCTCTCCAAGTCAGCAAGGCACTTCCCCAAGTGCCCAGGGAGGCGCTGAGGAGGGGAGTTCTGCTGGGAGAGTCTCAGGTGGTGTGTGGGCCGACCAACCAATGGCCGCCGAGATTCCTTGTGAGCGTGGGCTCGTGCCCCTGCCACGTGGGGCTCGGGAGGTGTCCCTTTAGCTGGTGGCTGGTTGTAGCCACTGGGGCATGTGAACCCAGGGTCCTTCCTCAGATGCGGATGAGGTGATCTTGGAGTCAGAGTTGATTTTGTAGGGAGAGGTAAGAGCAGGGGTTGGTAGTACTATGTATCAACCTATGGCAGCAATAATATTTGCAACCAAATACTCAACAAGAGTAATTAATTGAGACCCATATTTCAGTATTATTATAACCTGACTCAAGTGGATTTCTTCCCTCCCTTCATCATCTCTTCCCATCCTTCTGTCCATTTAGCTAGCTAGCATTTTTTTTTGAAGGGGAAGGAAGGCATTTATTAAAAGACAAAACACAAATTTCAGGTATCAACCTGGCTGAAGAAAATGGCTGCTCTGTGGCTATGAGCATCAGCTATTGTGTTTTACCTTTCTCACTCGTACATTAAGATGAACTAGAACTGCACGAACTAGAAATCCTCGGGCTGAGGGAAGTAACTGAAAAGCAGCCGCCAGCACTGGCATCTGGTCTTGTGCGATCAAGGCCCCAGAGAAAGGGAAGGGATTCTCCACCTGCTGGGAGCTCACATCTTTCTCCACAAAGAGAGTGAAAGCTGCTTCTAGTCTCTCCCTTAAAGCTGACCCCTTCACTCAAGCTCATTATTTCTAATTCCCCAACCAGTCCCCGGGGAAGGACAGGAAAGCAGGAGGAGGAAGAGGCATTGACCTTCTCTGGGAGACTGCAAACATGATGGGTTTTCTGAGGTACCTGTCCCTGTGCAACCCACCCCAAGGGAGATGGGTGTGAGAGGAACCCTCCTCCCTTTCCCCTTGCCAAATAATGCAATTTTTCTCTACAAAACTATATATACTTTTTAAATATGAATTTTTAAATTGATTTTAGAGAGGATGATAGAGGACTAGAGAGATAGAAATTTCGATGAGAGACATGGATTGGCTGCCTCCTGCACACTCAAGCCTGCAACCCGGGCATGTGCCTGACCAGGAATCAAACCATTGGTTCATGGGTCAATGCTCAATCATTGAGCCACACCGGCCAGGCTATATACTTCTTTTAAAGAGATAAGAATTAGATGGATGTTTAAATATTTACCTGTTATTAGTTTTTAGAAACCCTAAAGTTTAGGACAATTTTTGGGTGCCAGTAATCAACTCCAATGAACTTTACGAAAACTGGATTTTCATTTTTGTGTGTGTGTGAATATCTAGACCTTTCTGTACCAGAAATGAACCTCTTTTTGATACTGTAGTCATTTCAAGGTCACACTTAGAACAAGCTAACATACTTCCCCTCCCATCATCCTCACTACTCACTCTCAGGACAAAGGGTGCCTTATGTCCAAAGACTGGATGGTCTTTAGGTAAAGGATCAGATGTGGCTGGGGTGAGGGCACCTGGATGAAGTGAGCTCACTTAGCTCTTGCTCTAGTTCCCACCAGGGGCATGCCAGCCTGTCCCTGGCCCTCGGGCACCTGTGTGTCCTACTCCTTTTCATTGGGATGGCGTTTGGCTTGTCGCCAGAAGTCCTGGATGCGCTAAGGGAGAGGAGAGTGTAGAGAAACACAAGTCATCGCCTTAGTAATTGGTGTGATATTTTAGGGTCTTTGAATGTCTTCCTTTGTATAATATTTCTAGGGAGAAGCATCCATTAACAAACATTTTAAAAATTGATTTTAATGGGACTCTTAACTGTCTGAGTTTTGAGAGCCTTTCTCTCAAGATGGTCCCTGCAGGAGGCTGACTGAAACCATTCTCGTCTGACAGAACATACTATAATATCTTGTGTGTCATCAATTAATTAAACTTGCCAACAGCATCCAGGAACAGCCTCAATAAGAGTTTCTTATTAAAGAGACCACTCATGCAGAATTAAACCCATTTGGGTCTACCGTGCATTGCCAAGCCATCTATTTTTGGGGTTAAAAATATATAAAAATTCTAGTTTATGGCTTCTATCTTAAGTGCTTTTCAAACATCTTCAAACATTTATCAGCACTTTAGGCTTTTTCCTGATTCAGTACTCCAAATTGATTTAGCACAATCAAGTTAAACTGTTCTTAGTTAATAGGTAAGGAATAGTATCAGGGAGGCAAGGACAATTCACACTTTTCCAAGGTCATAGCTAGTAACTTACATTCGAACTACTGATTTTGACCATGAGTTTCTGATTGTTTGATGGCTAATGGTACACTTTTAAAAATAAAACGTTCACTGTAATTGAAAAGGTAATGCACTTGACATCAAGTTGCTTGGGGGCAGGTGAGTGTCACAAAAATCAGGCAGCACAGAATGTCACCAGACAAGACTGAAAGTCACGCAGCTGAGTTGACCGTGGCCCCGTGGAGAGGTCCTGGAGAGTCAAGACAGCTGCCCACTCTGCCAGGGGAGATGTCTCCCCATGGGCCGGGCAGCTGCAGGCCACTGAGGCCAGCAGAGGGCGCAGGAGCGGACCGCCGCCCTCCCTCTCCTGCCCTAGCTCTCGTGAACTTCCTCACCTTTCGAGTTAGCCTCCTCTTGATCTCTCTTTTCTCCTCTTGTTCCTCTTGTTCGTTCCGAGCTGAAAGAAACATTTAAGATGCTTTGGATTTTGTAGACAGTGTTGCACACAGGAGCTTACTATGAGCCTTTGAGGGTCCGGGCCAAGCACCTCACAGGAGAGGGGAAGAGGAAGCTTGTGTCTCCTACCCTGGCCTTGCTTCTGCCTGTGGGGACACTTTCAATCTGGTGGCGCAGGCTGACCTGCCTATTTTGGTTCCTTTCTGCCCCCTGGGGTTTCCAGTCTCCCGGCAGCATTGCTGGGTGAGAAGTGTAGCTTGTAAGACAAGGGGGGAGGTCCTAAAAGAGCAGGTGTCATCAGCAGGGAGGTGGGGCTCCCTTCTCTGGACAGCACAAAGGCCTCCCTCCACTGTGCCCCCAGCCTCACAGTCACTGCAGGGCTCATTGTGATGTGGCCCTCAGGTCGGTGCGCTGTGGGAGTAGAACCCAAGACCGGCCCGTGGGGGTGCCTGTCACCTGCGCAGAAACAAGGTGAGGAAAGCAAAGGCCAGCCTGGCTGCACGAAGAGGAATTTCAAAACGCTCACCTTTCGCAAGCCCTGCTTCCATTAATTCTTTGAATCTTCTGAGAAGTCCACTGAGCATGTGTGTGGCCAGAGTGTGGGGCACAACGGCCTGCATTGGGACTTTTAAGGAGTGCCTGAGAGGAGCAGGCCCCGGAGCCGGCACGTTGTCAGCTTAATATGTGGGTGACTTGTTCCTCAGATGTTTACAGAGCCGCAGGTAAGAGGGTCTGGGGAAGGGAGTAGAGGTTTGAAGGACAGACCCCCTGGGCTTATTTCTCCTTTCGAGCTAACGGAATGACCTTGAACATCACTTCCTTCTGGGAGCGGAACGGAAGCATGGCTCTAAGTATAATATTGTTTAAAAGCAAGAGAGCCAAAGGTCTCTGCTTCTCACCCGCTGGATTAGAATGGCACTGTGAAAGGTAGCTGCTTCGAGCTGATCTTGGCACAGGGCACACAAAAGAGTGCCCTCTGAAACTGGTTCTCTCATCTTAAAATCACTAGTGTTTAACTATATTTCAATAACTGAATTAATGTGTCGCATCATGCACACTTGCAATTCAGTCGTTTCAATACAGGGCAGATCTCTAACAGAGGGGAGCCCCTGTGCACAGAAGTGGGTCCCACCCTGCCCTCCTTTCAGCCCTGATGGCAGGCAGCAGCCACAGACGGCCACTCCTCCCGCTGGAGGAACGATGCTGTTCAGCGCAGAGCTCAGGGGCACGATCCCTGTGGGGATCAGGATGCTGTGTGGGGGCAGCACCAGAAATGCCATGGCCTGCCGTGGATCGAGGTCCCCAGAGGTGCCCACGGTAGCCTGCCCCACAGCGCCCCTAGCCACCCACGCAAAAGCTCCTTCTTTCAGATGTAAAGATCTGATCTCCCTCTCAGAGTTTCTATAAAAATGCAAATTTCTTTTGGATAAAAACGCATTAAACTAGTTAGCCATTAACACCTTAGTATGCATTAAGGTTACAGAGGTAAATAAGTTGGGCGGCAGATAGCAAGACTCAGAAGAAGGGGCGAGCCCAGACAGCTGCATTTGCAGGTGGCAGGGAGGGAAAGGACTAGTCTGGGTGGGGGTGCCAAGGAGGCAGCTCGGGCGCTTGGTTAAAATAAAATGTTCAGGGTATGAGGGCCACCAGGTGCTGAGAAACCACCTAGCCTCCCACTCTTCGTTTGTAAAAGAGGATGGGGAAGCCCAGAGGATGAAGTGGCTGCTCACAGGATACACGGCTAATTAGACAGCCCGCTCTTCTCACCGGGGACACTGCCCTCGTGTCTGGCCCTCCTTATACTGGTCACTGGCCTCAGGCTCTAGTCAGGGCTCCCTCACCCTACAGGCCCCTTTGCAAGCCTCAAGTGGCATTCTGTGACAGAGCACAGAGCCGTCATCTCCTATGTGCAATTCTTAGGTCCCTCTCAGGGGTCTGGCCCCAAGACCACCTATGGGATCTATACCTTTAGTTCAAAGCCATTTACAAACCCAGGGTAACGTTTTCTCAGGCCAGTGATACCAAGGCAACCCCACTAGGCAACTGGGGAGAGAGGCCAGGACAGGCCCATGACATCATCACACCTGCTGCCACCATCAGAGTGTGCTCATTGTGTGCTCAGGTGTGCAGCGTGCCTCACTGGTTGCTGACAAAGCAAGCACTGAGTACAGGGCCTGCAGGGTGGGGCTGGATGCCAGACCCAGCCCTTGCTTCATAGAGCGCCTTCCCTAGCACCCTTGGAGACTTCCCTAGCACTCTCGGAGAGATGGCTCCTCACATGATTTAAACTCAGAAAATAAGCTTTAGAACAGCGGTTCTCAACCTGTGGGCTGCAACCCTTTGGGAGTCGAATGATCCTTTCACAGGGGTTGCCTAAGACCATCGGAAAACACACATATAATTACATACTGTTTTTGTGATTAATCACTATGCTTTAATTATGTTCAATTTGTAACAATGAAAATACATCCTGCATATCAGATATTTACATTATGATTCATAACAGTAGCAAAATTACAGTTATGAAGTAGCAACGAAAATAATTTTATGGTTGGGGGTCACCACAACATGAGGAACTGTATTAAAGGGTCGCGGCATTAGGAAGGTTGAGAACCATTGCTTTAGAACGATTTGATGGAGGGCCCACTAAAAATTTCTTGTTTCACAATCAAATGGGAAAAAAGAAAAAGAAATACTTATTTAGGAAGCAATGTTCCAGAATGATGGGGAAAAATAAGAGCCCACAGGAAAAAATGAGTTTATTTCCAACAAGTTTTGGAACTGTGATATGATCAAGTTGTTTGAATCCGGTCAACTAGTTCTTTAACTTGCAGCTATTTGAATAGGACAAGGAGGAGAAACTAGAAGGAAACATGGAAACAATCTTCTAAGCTGCCTGGATCGCCTGAATCTAAGACCCCCAGGCTTACCCAACATGAGCAACTGCCTCTAAGATGTATTTGTCTGGATGGCAATAAAAACCCAAGCCAAGGGGCCAGCTGCGATCTCCCAGGGGTCTGGGTAAGCGGGTGTGTGTGTGTGTGGGGGGTGGGTGCTGGGAGCTGTGCCTTCAGGAAGCCAGAGGTGAGTTGGGCTTTGACACCACCTCTTTTCAAAACCCTCACTTTTGCCGTGAAGAACTATCTTCTGAAACCTGAAGTTTTCAGCTTCTTTGGGTTTAGGAGTCAGTCAGAGGCCACCAATATAACCTGGCCCATGTACAGACACCCCTTCAGAAGACAACAGATCCCTGTTAGACCTGTGCGTGGGGGGATGAAGAGGCAGAGGGAGGAGGAAGCACATTTACCTGATTTGTTATTTTAGGAATAAATAGAAGGTTTTCTGTTTTTCTTTCTCTCCAACAACAGAGAGTTTATAATAGAACAGGTATCAGGTTGGGGCCAAAAGCGCTCTCTTGACCATGGAAGTCATCTGAAAAAGTTCTAACTGTTTCACAGCATATTACGCTTACAAACTTTAGTGGGTGCCCCTTGTTAGAAATATATACATAAATTCCTAGAGACCTAGGAAGTCTGAAGTGCACTCTAGACGGAGAAAGGCCAGACCTAAGTATAGCAGCCACTGAGGAAGGAAGCAGTGGCCCGAGGGCACAGGTGGCCGGCAGGGTGCCAAGGGCAGTCACCAAGCAGATGAGAGCTCTGGAGGGGCTGCCCTGTCCCCCAGCCTTCCCAGGGGAAATGAACAGCTCACCCTCAGTAAACTATCCCACGCAGACCAGGTCTGCTGACCAGGTCAAAGACCGCAGGGAGGAAGGGGAGAAACGTAAAACCAAGAACATTTCAGTCTGTTCTAAGTGGAAATACCCTCCCACGCAAACAGGTTTCACATGATCGGAGCGTGTGTGAGCACGGGCGCATGTGCACAGAGTAGCATTTCTATGAAATTCTAGTTCTCTTTTCTGGAGAGCAATTAGCAGGGGATGTGCATGTAGGAAGACAGGGTATTGAATTACACTACGAATATTTGTTGGCCATCTTGTGAGTGTGGTAGCAATGGCTGAGTAGAACGTGAGCAGAGACTTCATTGTTTAATTGGTGTCCATGAGGTACTTGATGTCTTTTTGTATTATATACATATTATATAATACTAATACTAATATATATATAAATTTTTAAGCACCAACTGGATTCTCTGTACATAGTCAAATATCTCTGTGTCTTAAACCAAACAAGGGGCTGGCTTATTTTTTCTGTCCACAGCCACAGCGACAGTGAGTTTTTCTTGAATGAGGGCATTAGGCAGACACCCCAGCAGCCAGCTTGGGGGTGGGGGGGGGTGAGAGATGAACACAAAGCATTTTTTCTTGGAAATGCTTCCCTAGACTTTAAATGTAGTGTTCAGAGGGAGGAGGGTTTGATCAATAGCAGCCAGGTGCAACGGGAAGTCACGTTTTCTAGTCCCAGGTTTCAAATGGCCATTTGCCTTATTTTGGCCCTCAATGTAGTATTTACAGTTTTCAAGGCAATTCTGGTTTAAAGGTGACGCTCCCTCACCTCACAATCCTTGGGTGACAAGTGCTCTCACAACACATTTTCAGCTTCTCTCTGACTTACAGCCCATCACAGGGAAGGGGTGTCTGGAGCAGCTAAGGAGCCACGTGGATGGGAACCTTCCCTGGGTGGGGAGCTGGCCTTGGCTGTCCTGACATGCAGGGAGGGAGCCTCAGCCGCCACCTTCCCAACCACTTCCACCCAGGCACAAGGGACAGACCTTGCGGCCGGCCACTAAATCATAACTAAAGCCACCACACAAACATCAGGATTGCCGAGGGCTTAGTCACTTACGTTTCAAAATGTTCCTTTGCTCCAACTCCTCTGCAGTGGGCCTCTGGCTCAGCCGCCTGCGGAAAAAGTCCAGGAAAAGTTTTTGGACCATATCATATCCTCCTTGGATCATTAATCTCTCCCCTCGTAAGTACATGAGGCAGAGCCGGTGGCCCGAGTTCCTGTTCCATCCTGGGCTCTGAAGGACTGACTAGCACCACAGCCTCAGTTCCTCAATTTCAACCCCAGGACAGGCGCCCCACGTCACAGAACCAGTGGACCCACCCCCTTCCTCCTGCAGGCCCCTCCTAGCCTGCTCCTCCAGTGCCTCAGGCAAGGGACCTCTCTCCACAGAAGTCCCTTTCTTTCCTTGTGGCCTCTGCACTTGGGACCTTGGCCTCTCTCTGCCTTTCTCTCCAACCCTGAGGCTAGAGCCTGCTTCCTGCCATGTTTGTGCAGAGCCGGTTAGAATATAAAGAGGCCCATGGCCCCAGGGAGATGCAAGAAGCTTGTCTGTCTGCAAAGAACAATAGGTGCTCTTCTCATCTCCACCCATCACTACGGGCCTATTAGCTCTGGAATGACAACTGAACAGGAACCCAAGCAACACTCCTGTTGCCCAGCACATAATTTAACCATAACTAGTGAAGCACAGAAAGGCCATGAACCTGCGATGATGCAACAGCGGGGGTGGTGACAGACAGTGGTCAGGCACCACAAAGTGACAGAAGTCACCAGAGAATGGGAAGGGCACCAAAGGGGAGAACTACGTGCTTGTACACCAGCGTGACATTCCAGGAATGGTCAACACAAACCCAGTGGACCTCAGTATTCAGAGGCATTCGTATTTTTGAAGCTCTTGGGAATTCTTTAACAACCCCTCCGTTACCCAGCATTCCGCATCCCCCATTGGGATGAGGTGTGCCGGGTAATTGTAGAAGGAGCTGGAGGCTTCTCAAAGTCTTCCTCTGGGGCTGACGGGATGGAAAGGAGCGCTCTCCTCGTAGTAGAGGTTCCAGTCCCTCCCCAAGTATCTGCAACCAGTGTCTGAAGTGCCAGCTCTTTACACATTAGGATCTGGAGACCCAGTTGTCAATGTAAATATTTTAAATTCGATGCTATTGTTCTCTTTATTGAGCTGGGCCAGAAAATAGTCAGTTCGTGGTAGCCCAGCGTCAACACCTCATGCTATAGACAGCTAGGAGGGGGCTTCAGCGCCAGAGAAAGAACTTTTAGTCAGCATTCTGGAAACTGCTAGAAACTGTATTCCAGCATTTTAAGTTTATAGCTGCATGTTTGGAGGTTCTAAACTTGGACTCAGCAGTCTTGAAGTCCTTTCTGAACTGGCTTCTCATCTGCAGGAGGAGACTTGAGATCACACAACTGAGCAAACGTCACGGGTCTGGAATGCAGCCACTGGCTCTGCTTCGAATCAGCTGAGAGGCTCTCAATTTATCTTCCCCAAGAAGACTTGCTTTTTTTTTACAGGGATGCACAGCTAACTGAATGGGACCATTTGGTAGCACCCAGGTGTTGAATGAAGCCAGGGCTCTGAGACAATGTTTTGAACAAACCCTCCAGATTCAAGGTGGAGCTTGCTCCTTGGAAGTCGGGCTGCTGTTTTGGGGTCTCGGCCAGAAGCGTCTGCAGAATTTGCCCATTGGCTTGTGCCAAGCAGCCCATCCATTCCATTTCAGACGGGCTGCCTGGTTCTGTCTGGGTTTCATTTTTCTTATGGGTTATATTTGAAGGGGACAAGACAACAGTGACTAAACTATAACCAGAGAAAATTCTGTTATTAACCAGGCAGCTTTTTGTCAAACACACATGGTTTCTAAGGAGGGCCTTTATGTTTCGTTTCTCTTGAAAGGATCTGAGGATCTCCAGGCTAATCATAGCTATAACATGTAGCTAAGCCCTCCTGAAGGGCATGTGCTGTGATTAGCTATTTGACTTTGAAAATGGGATTCGGTAGGAAAGTGGGATTGAGGCATTGTAATGACAAAGCTCTAAACAGCACAGGGGCTAAGAGGTCTGGGTTCTAGTTCTGGCTCTGCTCTGAGCCTATTTTCCTTGGACAAAGCATTGGACCCTGCTGGGTTTGTGCTCTTTTTTTCTGCAAATAAATACTAATTTAATAGCTAATTCTGATGTCACCCTAAAATGTCCAGGCGTGGTTCTAAGAACTGTATGAGTGCAAATTCATTTACTCTTCATAGCAGCCCTTTGAGGTAGTATGGACTATCATTTCCATTGTACAAATGGGAAAACGGAGGCACAGGAAGTTGCATACCTTGCCCCCAGGTCACATGGCTGGCACATGACAGGGCGAGGACTTAAAGCCAGGCATTCTGTCTCTGTAATCTCAATACTCTTAACTAGTGTGTTAGCTTTGTATGGCTGCTGTAGCAAATTAGCACAAATTTAGTGGCTTAAAACAGCACAAATTGATTATCTTACAGTTCTGGTGGTCAGAAGTCCAAAATGCATTTCATGGGGCCAAAAGCAAGCGTTAACTAGACTGTGAGCCTCTGGAAGAAGGACAGAGTGTTCCCAGGCTTTTCTCAGCTTTGAGAGGCTTCCCGCACCCCTGTGCCCGTCCCAAACCAGCAGAGCTGCACCTGCAACCCCTCTCTGACTCTGGCCCTCCTGCCTACTCATTTAAAGACCCTTGTGGTTACAACGGGCCCACCCAGGTTATACAGAATAACCTCATCTCAAGAGCCTTAATCACAGCTGAAAAGTCCCTTTTGCCATCAAAGGTGACATGCTCATAGGTTTGGGGACTAGGACATGGACATCGTTTAGGGGCCGATATTCTGTGTGCCACAACCATATGCCTTACTAGTCAGAAGCTGCAAACTGATCTCAGCTGGGCTGGGTTTGACTCTACAACTTCTCCATAGCAGGCTTAGATGCTAAAATTTTCCACCTGAATGCCTCTAGATAGGGCGATAGCCCAGTCCCCAGCACTTTGAGAACACGTGTGAGTGTAGTGACCTTTGTCCTAATTCTTCCTTTCCAATCATTTTGAAAGCCCTGGATGAGATCACAAAGTCAAAGAATCCTAACCTTTGTTTTCCTTCTTTCATCCACCAATCTACCCATCATCTACTAAGAGCCCCATTGAGGACCTAGCACCCGACAGTTCTTAAGGAGCAGACAGCTTAGAGGAGCACAATAGTGATTAAACTTTGCATGTGAAAATTGGACCAACAATTTTCAGGAGCTGGACTGTAATAATAAAATGATAAGGAACTTGGAGATGATATAGACTTCCATGGCAGTTTAGAAGGCACTCTAGAGTCTTGCAGCACCTCAGGTTGGCACTCTGGAGAGTTAGCCAGATCAGTACCTATGTGGAAATAGAGCTGGGCACACGGCAAAACTGTGAAGGAGATAATGTGGGAGTTCTGTCTTGACTCTACCTCCTGTCCCTCTCCCTATCCACGCCGCCCCCGCCCCCCCCCACCAAGTCCCTGGAATGAAGTAATCTGCTCTATCTTATTCCTATCCAGACCTGTTCTTACAAACAAATGCTATATACTCAGCCATATTCAAATGTAAATTATTTCATTTCACAAATTATTTGAGTGCTAGCTCTGGGCCAGGTTTTGTGTTAGGCTCTGGGGTACAGAGATGAGCAAAAACAGATCGAGGCCCTGCCCTTCTGGAACTTACAGACTGGAAGGGCTGAGGGAGACAGTCATTAACCACACACAGAACTATCTATAAGGTGTAACTGTAGGAAGGGCTTCCATGATGAGTCACCTCGGGCAGTGATACTGGGATCTGACCAAATTAGGGCATTAGGAAAAGCTTCCCAGAGGAAGTGACACTGTGCCCAGATCTGAAGAATGGAGGATGCCCAGTTGCTGGAGTGGAGAGAGCAAGGAGAAGAAGGATGGAGGGAAACTAGGCAGGGGCCAGGCCGAGTGGCCATATAGGTTCTTTTTGTAAAAATGTTTTTATTGATTTTTAGGGAGAGAGGAAGGGAGAGAGTTAGAGATCTAAAAACATTGATGAGAGAAGAACATCATTGATTGGCTACCTCCTGCATGCCCCCCACTGGGGATTGAGCCCACAACTCGGGCATGCAAATCGGGCATGTGCCCTGACCAGGAATAGAACCGGTGACTTCTTGGTCCCTGGGTCAATGCTCAACCGCTGAGTCACACCGGTTGGGCCCCACAAGATCTTGTCCTTTTTATTATTTTTTAAAATATATCTTTATTGATTTCAGAGAGGAAGAGAGAGGGAGAGAGAAACATCAATGATGAGAGAGAATCATTGACTGGCTGCCTCTTGCATATCCCCCACTGGGGGATCAAGCATGCAACCCAGGCATGTGCCCTTGACAGGAATTGAACCTGGGACCCTTCAGTCCACAGGCTGATGCTCTATCCATTGAGCCAAACTAGGGCAGGATCTTGGTCTTTATCTGAGGAGCAATGTGAAGCCATCAAAGAGTAAATTTTAAGGTGGGTGAGGAGAGGAGTGAATGGACATCTCAGATTTATAAGACACTACATTGATCATTATACAGAGAATGGATTGGGGGAGGCAAGAGGCAGTTTGAGTAGAGGCCTCAGAAGGCTGTTTGCACACCTGGTAGAGGCTCATGGACACGCGGGCTAAGTAAGGCATGGTGGTAGGCGAGCACGTTTTTAGGAAGCCAACTTGACATACTATAGAGACAGCCTATATGGATGGAGGGGGAAGGAAGAGGTACACAGGGTACCTCCCAGGTCTCATAACTTACACAGCAGAATGAATAGTGATGCCAGTCATTGAGACGGGAACACAGGGAGGGAGCCAGCACATTTAGGGGAAGGACAGAAGAAAATGTGAGTTTGGGTTTAGATCTGTTGAATCAGAAAGCTTTTGTGATATCAGAATGGAGATGTCAAGGCAGCTGGATATTGAGCTCCGTGGGCAAAAGTCTAGGCCAGTGATAGAAATTTGTGGCAAGTCTGCAAGAGATGATATGTGAAGCCAGGAGTATGGAGAGAACATAGAATGAGAAGAGAAGGGGGCTTAGGATTGTGGATGAAAGGGGCCACGTGCTAACCTGGAG